GCCCCGGCCCGCCCCATCAGGAGACTCGGGGGGGCCGCGACGGGCCCCCAACCACCCCTCCTCCGCCCACCCGGCACGTTTTCAATCCTTGTGGGCACACTGACGGTGCCTGGGAGCATCCCGGCGCCATTCCCCTTGCCTTTCATTCCGTAGGCTTCCCCCGGCCGCATCGCGATTTTGCTTCTGCGGCCCGCACCTCCAGGGTGGCGCCCCGGCCCCCACGCGCGCGGTTCTGCTGCCTTCCCAAGGCGACCGGGTGCGCCGACACGGTGGGGACCCTGGCACTGGGACCTGCTGTGGCGTGCTTTGCTCCTGTCGCTCACCCGTGCGCCCCCCGCGATTTCGCGGGGAATCCTTTGTGCCTGCTTGCATTAGGCCAGGCCGTTGCGGCCGCCCCCGTGTTCGCACTCCCCCTGCGGCTGCATTTGAGCAGCACTACCATACGCGGCTGCCCCAGCCGATGTTTTGAGAGCCGCGATCTGGCATTGATCTGTGAACTGAACTTAGGATGCTCTGAAGCAACCCCCCTGGGGAGGCCTCGTTCCTTATTTCTATGTTTGCCGCCACCCCAGGGAGTATCGGTGAGAACCCTATGCCCCACCCTAACCCCAACCCTGCATGCGTCTGCCGCCAAGCGCACCTCCAAGGCCGGAGGGCGTGACGTCACCTCTGGGCAGTGTCGCCAGCTGACGCGGCTTCCTGCCGCTCCCACCCCCACGCACGACAAGGGGCAAAGCCTGAAGCAAACCAGAGGCGTCGCGTGCCTCTGTCAGTTTTCGACCCGTTGGTATTTGGGTCCACCCATAGCGGTGCCGCGGGTTCCTGCGCGCGCGTCGTTACGCGCCACACCCGCACGCAAGGCGGGCTCGCATGCACAGGCGGCGGCTTCGATGCCGCCGCGCCGTCCCGCCTTTGGTGCCGCCTCTGTCCTCTCTGTGTTGCGATCATCGGGCGTGGCTGGCAGGGATTAGTGTTTCAGAGGGGATCGGTCGGTCGGGCCCTTGCCCCCACCTTTTGCTGCTGCCCACGCCGGCCGTCACCGGAGGCTTGCCTTTTGACTAATTCTGGTGCGCCTTCTTCCTGCGCCCCGCATGGGTGCCAATCGGGGGGTCGGCTCGGCGGAGGCGGCGGGGGCCACACGGCGGGCAACAAAGACAGGGCCCTGTCAAACCTATAGCTCTGCTTTTGGTGAGAGCAATAACTATACTCAAAGCACTGCCCTGCCCTCCTGTCACGCTTCATGAGGCGCGCGTGCGCGCGCGGATGTTTGTTCGCGCCACAGTCCTTCCTTGGGCCGGCGTGGCTGCTCTCTCCCTCTTTTCCTCTCGTTTGCTTTCTTTTCAAGCGCGAAGCATTCCGGGCTGCGCCCCCGCACACTCTTTCTGTTGCAACCCCCGGCTTGGAGGGGGTCCGCTCCTGACAAACACACGTTGACGGTCGGGGCCGCAGAGCGGCGTGGGGGAGCGTTTACGCGTGGTAACCACGTCGTGGGAAGGCGCTGCTGTGCATGAGTAAGGGACACGCAGCGAGGGACACGCAGCAAAGGGGCCAGCAAGGCAGGGAGGGAGAGAAGGCGACGACGTCGTGGTGGCTGCGGTGACCCAAACGCAAATGGATCGCCTGCCTGTCGCCACATATCAGCCACAGCGGGGTGCAGTCATGACTTTGGCTGGGGGGATAGCATTTTAGGGGCAGCCCTTTCTCCCCTGATGCGGGGTAGCGTGTGTGGAGGGCAGCCAAGGGGCCAGCCTTTGAGCTCCGAGGGCATGGTGCTTGCATCCAGCCGTGCGCGCAGCTGCACCTCACGCTACCGAACCCCTCTCTGGCCTCCGGCGACGCCCTGCCCACCCTGAACATACCTGCTCAGCAGGCATCAGTCAAACTGCCAGGTCGCAGTTTGGCAGGTGCTACATGTGAGCACATGCACCAACCACCTCCCCGTTGGACTTGCGTTTGACTTGCACCACCGCAACATGCTACTGCTTACGCTTGCTGCGCACGTCGATTCGCCGACCGTTGCAGTTTGTTGACGTCGCTGCCTGATTAAAATCTTGCCAGGTACTGCTGCCATCAGCTACTGCTGTCCGGCTGATGCTGTGCACGTTGGCGCTCGTCGACAGGGGCGGTGGTTCATTGTGGGGACAGGCGTTACAAGGGCTGAAGCAGAGACAAAGAAATCCCCAATTTACTGGGGCTTGCCGCCCGAGCGGGGTGCGCTGGCGGGCGCGAGGACCTTCCTGCCCCTCTTCCGGCGGGCGGACAGCACACGGCGGCCGTTGGCGGTCTGCGGGAGCAATTGAGCGGGGGTAGTTACGATGGGCGTGATGATGACATCGAGCGCACGCTTGCTGTGGCTGGGGCACCAAACAGCGCTGGCAATAGCAGCATTGTGCTGTTGCTGCTGCTGCTGCTGCTGCTGCTGCTCCTGCTGCTGTTGCCATCCCAACAGCACCATTGCACTCACGGCGTCTCGATGCAAAACGTGCCCGCACAACCTGCAAGCGCTGCTGCACGGGCAGCGATGCGACCCCCTTAATGCCGGCCTCTTAAAGCTATGCGCAGCTTCCCCGCACCTGCATCCTGGTGCGGAAGCCGCTGGTGCGCCGGCGCTTGCGCTTGGAGCCGTGGAGGGTGTTGCCCATGGAGTTGCCGCCGGCCACAACCACCAGCGCGCCGCGGCCCGCGGGGCGCGTGGGCGACAGGATGCTGCTGCTGAAGGTGCCTGGTGTTGCGTGGACATAGGGGAGGTTGACTGCGTGCCGTGCACAGTGGGAAACGCTCGCGGGCCGACGCAGCTGTTGCTGCATTCGTTCCGTCATGCGACACGCAGAGGCCCAGCCATCCAGCAGTGCCGATGTGGATCGATATGATAAAACTCAAGTATCCATATGCACATTGCCCAGCGCCCACACAGCACTCCTGCTTGTGGGGTCGACGAATGGCTGCCGCACACTCAGCCCGTGCCATGGCAGGCAATGCCTGATGCGCGCTACGTCATACATTCGCTACAAATCCACAATGTGTCAACTCGATGTACTCACCGCCGACGAACGAGGGCGCCGCGAGCATGTGCGGGCGAGGTGCCATGCTGACGGCCTGGGGCCTCCTCATGGGAGCCATGCCCACAGCCATGCGGCTGCTGTTGCGCATAAGAGCTGCCTGCATCGTGCTCCGCTCCCGCTCTGCTCCTAGCTTGGTGCCTGGGACGCCGGCGCTGTGGCCGGGATAAGCGGTGATTACGCTTGAACAATACACTTCTGAAATAAGTGTTGAGTGCACGGTGATTACAAGTAGTGCAGCAGCGGGACGGTCAGCGACTGGGCAGGCACTGCAATCGTGAGCCACTACAGGAGCTCAACCCTCAATCAAGGCGCATTATTCCATGCGCATAATACACATCTAGATATGTGCAGCGTGGTGGGCGCGTGCACGACCAGAGCGCCGCCGACACCTCCTCCAAGACCACCTCCAAGTCAACAGCAAGCGCAATCACTTGTCCCCCGGCGTCGCCGCCACCAAGTCGACAATCTTTGGGAAGTTCGCCCGCTCCTCCAGCCGCTGCTGCGCCCACAGCAGCATCTTCAGCAGCAGCGCCGCGCGCGGCTCGGCCTCACGCCGCTGGCTGCTCAGGATCGCAGCGTTGAGCTCGCTCGCTGTCTTCTGGCGCTGGGACGCATCCATCAAGTCCCCCACCGGGCTTGCCTTGGGATCATCAAACGCCAGGAGCGCGACGGTGCGCTCTGCACAGGTTGCGCACGGGTGGGGCGGGAAGGAATCAACACATGCTGGACCGACACCCGGGGGTGCGCCTGGGAGAGGGTGGCGAAGGACGGAAAAAATGCACGCCCGCAGGCCCGACGCACGCGCGACCGCGTTGCATGTCACACCACATAACCCCCTCGCAGCGTCCGCACCGCCTGCGCTGCGCACCCGAAGCTGCCCCGACCTCCCCGGCCGCGCCGCGGCGGCGCCCGCCCTGAAGCGGTCGCCTCCATCCCCCTCTCCTCCCCACCCCCCTCCCTCCCTGCACTGCCGCCCATGCACGGACACACGCCGCAACCCAGAGAGCACCCACCCAGCTCATCCAGGAACTCGGGGTGCTCCTCCCCAGTGGGCGCCAGGTACTCGCGCGCAAACTCCAGCGCGTCCCCCGTGCGGCCGTCCCGGATCATCTCGATCAGCCGCTGCTGCTGCAGATGGAACAGCAGCCCCTGCTGCTCCTCTAGAATCTGGGGGGGGGAGCGGGGCCGAGGGCAGAGGGCCGCCGCAGAGGGCCGCGCTGCTCAGGGGTACAGGCGCGACGGCCGGCGTGCGTCTGGTGAGCGACGGCCGCGCCTTTGCGCGCACGCCCGCGCGCCCCCGCCGCACTGAGCTGTGCGGGCGCCCGGCCCCTGGCGGTTGCGCGTCCCGGGCGGCCTGTGGCCGGTTTTGGCGCCTCCCCGGGCAGCCGCAGCCCCCCGCCCTGTGCGCTGCTTAACCTTGGGGGCCTCACCTCCGGGTCAAGATCATTGACAGCGTCAATGGCGTCCTCGACGCGGCCCCCCTGCACCGCCGCGCGTATTTCCATGCGGCCGGCGATGTCCCCGAGCTCAACGCCCGGCGCCGTGCCGCTTTCGGACTGGAACGCACGCGCGGCGTCGACATAGCCCTGATAAATTTGTGGGCATGTGTATGTGTGTGTGTGTGTGTGTGTGATGAAGTCTGTGTGTGTTCATAAGTGAGTGTGTATGTGTGTGAGAGAGCGGAAATGTGTGTGTTTGTGTGTGTGTAAGAGAGAAAGACAGACATGTATGAGAAAGACAGAGTGTGTGTCTATGTGAGTGTTTGTCGGCATCGCGTGTCATGCTTATGAATAGGTGGGCGGCAGTGAGAACGCAAAAATGTTTCGAGTGTGACAGTGTGTGCGCATGCGTTTCAAGAGAGGGAGCGAAAAGGCATGGCGACACCACCATGCAGCGGCCGTCCTTCGTCTGTGCCACAGCAGGCACTACAAGATATTGCATGGCCCCCTCCCTGAGTACCTCGTGCCAACTCACAGCCATGTGGGCTGCTGCGTGCGACTCATTTACGGCTGCCTGCATCAAAAACAACTGGACCATATACCACACATACAACGATATACACCACACACGCATGCACATGCAAACACGCGCGCAAGGGCAGCAGCAGCGTCAGGAGACAGCAAAGCCGGGGCCAGCGTCCAACACCCACCTCAGTTACCAGGAAGTCCATGACTACGCGGTTCATGTCATCCTTGCTGATGGCCACCTGCGACAGCCGCTGCTCCCACTGCTCTGGGGGTATGCTGCGCTTGGCCGGCTGCGGTGCGCCGTGCGTGTGCAAGAAAGGCGGGGCCGGAAAGGTGGACACCTGGCAAACCCGGGCGGATGAGTGGCATCAGGCTTCCATGCGCCGCGTGTCCCAGGCTGCCGTCGACATGGCTCAATGACCGCGATGACCCCCATGGCGGTGCTTGCAGGCGTGCGAGCCGCACCTCCCCTCTGGCCATCATGGCGGCGCGGGCGCGCGCGGCTGCTGCGGCGGCGCGCGGCGCTCCTCCTGCCGCTGCGAGGCGCGCGAGCTCGGGGCGCAGCGCGGTGACGTCCGCGCGGTGCTGCAACGACGCCAGCAAATGCTGCCGGCCTTCCAGCTGCTGCCTGAGGGTCTGCTCCAGGAATCCGAGGGTGCTCCGGTCCGCCGTGTCCAGCGTGGCGGGCCTTCGCTGCAGTGTATGCTGCAGCACCGCCGGTCGATCGAAGAATGCTTGCTGATTGGATGTCCTACCGAGTTTTGCAATATGTGTTGCTGCAGAACCTTTTGGATTGCGCAGGGACAAGGAAATATTTGTTTCGTGGTGCTTCCAGTGACGACGGTGTGTGATCTGGTGTCGATGCATGCGTGACCAACTTATGTTGATCGTAGCGGCATCATTGATCATAATCGACTCTTCTAGCCCGTCAGGTGGACTTCATTGTGCCTGCGCCGGCGGTGCAAGCTCGCCTGATTCTCATTGTTTGACAGCCATTCCCCTGTATCTGCAGGGTGGTATCAAAAGTGCGCACGCACCGCTTTCTGGCTGAGCTAAATTTGGCGACGTCAGGCACAGCACTCGAGTGCGGCGGTGCGTCCTCGTCTCGTCGTCGCGTACATCCCAAAGCAGACAGCAGCGCAAGCATGGCTGCGGTGCGTGTCTTTGCGTCTCGACCGCCGGCGTCGAGCCGCGCCCCCGGCGCACAGCGCACAACAGCGG